CTCCGTGTGTGAAGCGGAGTTTTTAGCCACCAGGCCACCGGGCCGGGTGTGTGGTACTTAAACGTTTGTACATTTTTAACTCTGAGCATTTCAATGGAAGGTGCACAGTGTGTGGTACTAATATGAAAATGATATATTGTATGGTGATAAAACAGATGTGGTGCAGTGCGTAGTTCTGAAACAAAAGAGGTACAGTGAATCTATTTATCCTCTTATCAGAGGAAATCCCATAGTGAGAGCATATACAACAATAATTTCTTCTACTTCACTATATGAACCAGCCTGGGAGGTTTCCTTCAGCGTGTACAAACACTACACACTGATAATACATTCAAGAACAAAAGAGCACATTACCGTGACTGGAACAATATACAAATAACTCGTACATATGACAGCAGAGATAACGACGACGTTTCGGTATAAACCCAGTAAAACTTATATTAAACAGATAACCAAATTTAAAATTCATCCACAACACATCAAAAACACGAAAGCATGCACTTGGGTTCCTCTCCTGAATGTTGGCTTGTCATGAACTGTTCCATTCACGGTATTGTGACTTAATGTTCTTCATCAGCTGCAGCACTTTTGGTAATACAGTGTGTAGTCAGTTGCAGGCAAGTGATGTTGCAAATAGTGATTAACACCGACAAGTTTGTATGAAACAAATTCGCAATGACTAGGAACATTTTATGAAGAAAATGTCCTGGTTACTTCGTATGTGTCTTGCTTGCATCTAGTTCCAGTTTTCAAATCTGCATACAAATCACATACAAGGTGAATATGAATTGCCTAAGGAACCTTTGAGAGGTATCAATTTTGGCTGGATCTGATGGCCATGGAAGAAGGCATTTTCTAGGAGGCAGTGTCACTTGGCACTATCCAGTAGTGTTTACCTGGAGTTTACCTGGAGAGAGTTCCGGGGATCAACGCCCCCGCGGGTGTGTCAGTTGTCGTGCAACAGTTTGCTGACAGTGTTATATTGTTCTACAGAATTTTCAATTATCCTCAAGAAAATCTGATAATGGGTGGCAATTTCCTTTTCCAGGTTCTTGACATTAGTTTTCTTGGCCTGAAATCAATTTCACTTAAACTGCATCTCATCCAGGCTGAAGTGCAGATGTAATAGGAAGTGGCATTCTGTCACTGCAGAGTGCTTAACAAGGTTCAGTACTAGTGCCACTTCCCTTGAAACTTCAGAACCTCTTCAGGCTTAAGATCATCTGCACAGTAGATTCCTTTAACTTCTAGTCCATCACCTTTGCCAACATTTCAAATTATCCCAGGTATGTCTCCCACAAAACTATTTAATCAACCTCTCCATTTTTTGTGTATCATTGCTAAGAGACACAACAATATGAATAAATATTTATTACAATTTATTTTTTGTTATACGACTTTCACTTATTTATATTTCATGTCATACATGTTTCTGATGACGTTTCGTGTAAAAACAGAATGGAGGAAGGAGCTACAGGTGGTATGGAATGTGAGGAGGAGGAGCAGAACAAGGACGCAATTAACCTGCGTCAGTGTATCAGCCAGGCTCTCAAGACCTCAGTTAGAGATGCGCTGGCGCTCCTCTATCGTGAAAGGTGATAACTGTCATGCACTTGGGGATAGTGTGAGAGCTACCATGCACTAAGGGTATGTGAGAGCTTTCATGCCGTAGGGTTATTGTGAAAGCTATCATGTACTTGGGGATATTGTGAAAGTTTTCATGTTGTAAACTGTTTTCCCTTTGGAAGGAGGGAAGGGGAGGCAGGAATTAATTGACGGAGGGCGCTTCAGTTGTAATATGCAGTATATTACATAAAAAAATTTTAATATATTTTTATTATTAGAACATATTATTTTGTACCGAAATAGGTCAGCATGCTTTTACTGCAGTATATTAACCTTGATTATCCATATAACAAAGATTCCCCATGGCACACCCTAACACACGGCCTTATGATGTACTCAACGCTCACGGCTGGGCTCGTACACTGCTCAAGCGTAATCCTCAAATGAGTGAGAGGATCAAGGAGAACATTGTGGACAAGCTGGACGTGTCAGCCCTTGGCATTTTGCTGCGTTATGGATGTGGGCTGTCAACCAATGATAAGATGTGGAAAAATCCCTTTAGTTTAGAAGGTGAGCAGTTAAAATATAGTTGGGCTGTGTGAGTATGTTTTGCAAGTGTGTCATCTGGCAGATTAAAAGATAAGTTCAGTTTCTTTCATAGAACCCTTCAGGGTAGGATGGAGGGACAAGAAGGAATGCTTACAAAGGGCTCTTTATCTGAGGAACTGAAGTTACCCTATTCTGAATCACACCTCATTACCTCCCATGATTACTGTATTTTTCAGAATATAAGGCGCGCCTTTTGTTCCCACAAAAAAACTTGGAAAATCACCTTGTGCCATATGCTCAAGGTCAGACTTAAGGCGAAGGGTAGTCCTTTAGTTACGCTTTATCCTACAGTAAGAGTAATTAGCCCTTGCATACAATTACCGATTTATCGTTATGATACTTGTCGTGCGTCTTATATACCGGAAAATAAGGTGTATAAAATGCATTCACAGTAATTGTACAGTGTACTAAGATTAATCCAATTGTAAGGATCTTATCTCATCTATATGGGTGGGAAGGTTTTAACGGTTATAAAAGTTTCTTTAATTATTTTATGTTGCAAGTTCTTGTGTCTGCATGACAGTCTCATCTCTTCTGTATTGAATTTTTTTTTAATACTTGCAATAGTTCCTTTTTGCATATTGTATCTGGCCACTCTTGGCTGTGATCGGAATCCACCTCATGTGATCAGAATATTTGTTAAGAAAAATGAGACACAGGGTTTTATCATTGGCTGCTGAAAGAGGATCAGTGATGTACAATTAGGGGTACTGTTAAGACCCTCTGATGGGGATCCTGTGATTTCATCTCTATGGTCAGGACTGGATAATTGCGTAAATAACCCACACTTAGGAGACTAAAACTTATGATGACATGTTGGTTTGACTTGGCTCGGTCTGATTTGGACCATTAACTAGACACACTGGTTAATGGTCCAAGAATGATTGCAGTCTGGCAGTCATGATGTCACAAACTGTATATTATTGTTATTATAATCAAGGGGAAGCGCAAAACCCGGAGGATTATACAGCGCCTGGGGGGGGGGATGTGGAAGGCATTCAGGCTTAATTCGGGGAACTGGAGCACAGATCCAATTCCCTAAATCAAGAGCCCCTCACCAACATCAAGGAACCTTCCTTGAGGGGACAAACTGTATAACGAGGCATAGCAAGGCTGTATAGTGTAGCAGTTAACTACAGTCAGGGATACATAGCTGGGGTCTTCATTCCAGTATTCTCATTAGTGCTTATCTTCTCTCAACTCATCTCTTAGGACCAACCTCTGACTCTGTATTGAAGCTGAGCATGTGGGCAGCTCTAGGTCTGACCACCACCTCTAGAGGACTAATTTTTGTTACCTATAAAGGCATCACATTTATAGGGAATATTCAGAAGCTGCGTGATCTACGGAATGAGGATGCTCACTGGACACAAACGACCTGCTCTAAAGATGATCTAGAGACCACCTGGATGCAGCTGGTTGAGGCTGTAAGAAACGTCCTCCACCTGGGTGGCCTTACCAAACATCAGCCCAAAATCATGCAACAACTGAAAGACATTATTCACTCATCCGTGATGTACCTACAAAGTGAGTGCCTCTCAGTCAGTACAATCCCAAAATTACAGAAGCATACAACAGAGCAGAGTTTATTATCAAAATCAAAAAGGGTTATTTGCCAAATTTTTCTTTTTTCTCATATACGTAAACAGCATTCTGAGAACAGTTAAATAGCAGGTATATCTTGTGATTAGTGGAAGGAGGATCGAGCCTTCACAGTGTTTTGTGCTGATTGACCCAAATGACCCCACACTGATTTAGAGCTTAATACAAAGTAAATAAAATAAGCCAAGCTCACCAATAAGATTAATAAGAATACACAAGCAAGACAGAAGTACTTTCCCTGACGTTTCTAAGTGAACAATGAGTTTTTTCCAGCTGGCACTGTTCTTGGTTAATACCATTAAGCAATGTATAAAGAAAAAATTAGTCTCATACTGTATTCTAGCTCTAAATAATGCAGCTGTTTCAGTCTCAAAGTTGCAAGAGAAGCTTTGTCGTTGCAAGAGAAGCATTCTGTCGTTGCAAGAGAAGCTTTGTCGTTGCAAGAGAAGCTTTGTCGTTGCAAGAGAAGCTTTGTCGTTGCAAGAGAAGCTTTGTCGTTGCAAGAGAAGCTTTGTCGTTGCAAGAGAAGCTTAGTCTCTCAGTTGCTCTTGTCTCAGCATTCACTGCTCCTTCAAATACACAGAAATCTATCATCTGAAAATACTGTAGGAAATGAAGTGTCATATACAGTAAATGTAAAAATTAAACTACATATGTGTATTCATATGTAAGTTTAAAATAATTTTAAAAAATAATAGAAGTAGAAATGTTAGTTAAATTAATTGTAACCATAAGTAATGATCTGTAAAAGTGATCACATATATGGAGAATTTTCACTCCCTTCAGAAAAGATCCGGAATGAGCTTCTGGACACCTACAGGAATAACCGCAAGACAACACTGATGCCTCTCTTATGGGCCGGCAAGGACTATGACTTCCACCACCACGTCAGCAAGACTTACACCAGCACCAGATTCACAGTTCTTAATGATGGGTGAGTTTACTTACACCAGCACCAGATTCACAGTTCTTAATGATGGGTGAGTTTACTTACACCAGCACCAGATTCACAGTTCTTAATGATGGGTGAGTTTACTTACACCAGCACCAGATTCACAGTTCTTAATGATGGGTGAGTTTACTTACACCAGCACCAGATTCACAGTTCTTAATGATGGGTGAGTTTATTTAGGGACAGGTACACATAAGTACAATTATCATACATAGTGTAAATGATCAAGGATTACCCAAAAAAGAGTCAAAGTTACTTATTTATTCTTTTGTGGACTCTCATTGTTTGCTATTTTTTTATGTTGGATAATTTGTTTATCCATAATTAGCTAAAGTTCACTGGAGAAAAGTATAATATGGTGATTCAAGTTATTATTATCCAGCAATTGCATTTTTTTCCACAATTTCAGTAAATTTTATAATCTGCAGCTACATATTCCAAACTTATAGGGCATCATACTTCTTAAAAATATCAGCGTGAATATTTTGAATTCAGAAGAGGCATATGCTTTAGTGAATGGAAATTAGTATCACTGTTTAATCAAATTGGCAAATTGGAACTTTTGCTGGAAAACACACCAGGTTGAAGTTCACTGAAAGAGGCATTCTCAAATTATAGCATGGAGGCTAACAATTCCAAAAAAAATTTAACTCCAGGTGGGTCCTGCTTATACAGCAGGTTAGGTTCTGGGCTGCTGCTGTTAAGTAAAAATCACTGTAAATTGAATCATAGTCTTTTCTCACTTTCAAATGCATATAAAAGCTGATAATATGTTTACACTATTATATATTAAGTGGACAATAGAGTTAGGCCTACAAATGCATATACAGTACACACATTACTTACCTTAAACTACTTCCATCCTTAGCTTATAGTAGCAGTGAATATATTGTAGGAAGTCTGAATAAATGAAGAATGGGTATAAATAAAGACCAGTGCATTCGAAACACTGTAAAGTGAAACACTGTAAAGTGAAACACTGTAAAGTGAAACACTGTAAAGTGAAACACTGTAAAGTGAAACACTGTAAAGTGAAACACTGTAAAGTGAAACACTGTAAAGTGGGGCCTACCTGTGTTTTAGTATAATGATAAATTCGCTTGCATATAAAGTTTAATGGGTACTATCCTGGTCATAATGTGCATCATCTCATAGCTCGATCACTAGCGCACTCAGTTCACACACTGAGCTCCACTGGTCGATCCCCAATACAGCTGGAAAACATTAGGACATGTTTCCTTAAAATACCTGCTGTCCAGTTGTCAGCCATCAATAAAATGTATACCAGGGTGTTAGTTGATTTGTATAGATCGCATCCTGGGACAAAACTGATCTAATTTGCTCAAAATGCTGCAAAAAAGCAATAAATGACATGCCCATGCAATCTGCCCCAAGCTCAGACTTGTGGAACTTCGTGTTCATCAAGAACTGCAAGATGCCCCTTTCATGTGCCTTTAGCATTCAGTGGAGAGTGAGTTTACTTACACCAGCACCAGATTCACAGTTCTTAATGATGGGTGAGTTTACTTACACCAGCACCAGATTCATAGTTCTTTATGATGGTGAGTTTACTTAAAACTCAGCACCAGATTCACAGTTCTTATGATGGGTGAGTTTACTACACCAGCACCAGATTCACAGTTCTTTATGATGGGTGAGTTTACTTACACCAGCACCAGATTCACAGTTCTTTATGATGGGTGAGTTTACTTACACCAGCACCAGATTCACAGTTCTTAATGATGGGTGAGTTTACTTACACCAGCACCAGATTCATATTATTATTATTATTATAATCAAAAAGAAGCGCTAAGCCACAAGGGCTATACAGCGCTGCAGGGTAGGGAAGGAAGCAAGGGAATTGGATGGCAGGAGGGAGGGGGGATGATCAGCAGGTTACAGAAAACAGCGGGGCAGGGATAGTACGGGGGTAGAGGTAGCAAGAGATACAAGTAGAAAGGGCTGAAAGTATCAGAATTTGTGAAGTCAGTCGTTGTCAAAAAGTCAATAAGAGAGTCCGATGAAAGGTGGGTCCATCACGAGAAGGGAAGGTAAAGAGAGAGCAGCGGGCGAAGACGACGACAGAGGTAAATTCTGCGTGCTCGTTGATAAAGTGGGCAGTCCAACAGAATGTGGCTGACTGATAATGGAGCTTGGCAATTCTCACAGAGAGAGCAAGACGCCTCTCCATGAGATATCCATGAGTAAGACGAGTATGGCCAATGCGAAGACGGAGAGAGTAGTCTCCCAACCTCGACACTGGTGATAAGAAGACGGCCAGTAACCTATACTCGGTTTAATAGACTGAAGTTTGTTGCCGAGCATAGTAGACCAACGTTGTTGCCAACGGTGGTGAAGGTGGGAAGATATTACAGCAAAATAGTCCGTACATGGAATACCTCTGTAAGAAACTGGTAGGTCATGTACTGCTGACCGCGCAGCAGTGTCTGCCTGTTCATTGCCCTGTACGTCAACATGACCAGGGACCCAACAAAAAACAATATCTTTATGCTTAGTAAAGATGCGGCGTAGCCAAAGTTGGATACGGAGGACTAAGGGTGAGGTTATCAAATTTTTTGTATAGCCTGTAAAGCACTAAGGGAGTCTGAGACAACCACAAATGATGACACAGCATAGATGCAATACGGATAAGTGCTGTAAGGATGGCATATAATTCAGCAGTAAAAATACTAGCTGAAGATAGTAAATGCCCTTGTACACGCTGCCGGAAACACTGCTGCGAATCCTACGCCGTCAGAAGACTTAGAGCCATCTGTGTACACAGCAATGGCATGAGAATGAGAGTGAAAGTGGTCAAGAAAAAGAGAGCGGGAAGCGACCGTAGACAGTTGGCTTTCGAGCAAGGGAGGGAGAAAGAACAGACTCGAACAGCTGGAGACCTCCCAGGGGGGTAGGAAAAGTGAGATGCTACATGTACATAGAAAGGTGGTAGTTGAAGAGAAGACAAGAGCGAATGAAGGCGAAGAGAGAAGGGACGGAGTAAGCAGGGGCGGCGAACAAATAAAGAATGTCTACTAATATCAGTGACCATTCTATAAATGGAAGGATTGCGGAGATCATGAGAGCGTACATAGTAGCGCAGGCAATGGGCATCACGGCGATCGGATAAGGATGGAACGTTCGCTTCTGCATAGAGGCTTTCGACAGGGGAAGAGCGAAAAGCACCAAGGCATAAACGTAATCCTTGGTGATGAATGGGTTAAGCTAGAGAGAGTAGCAGGAGATGCCGCTGAATAGATCTGGTCACCATAATCAAGTTTCGATAAAATAAGGGTGGAATGTAGGTGAAGGAGGGTCGACGATCAGCTCCCCACGAAGATGAGCAAGGGTTTTAAGAAGGTTTCAGCCGGCTGTGACAAGTTGCCTTCAGAGAGGTAATGTGAGGTTTCCAGGATAACCTACGATCAAAGAGGAGCCCAGAAACTTGACTGTATCACGTTCAGGGATACGTGAGCCATAGAGTACAAAGGATGATCAGAGATGACAGAGCGTCTAGTGAAAGTGATTTGGTGGGTTTTAGTGCTGGAAAATTTAAAACCCATGTGTGGTGGCCCAATTGGAAACACGGTCGACTGCATGCTGGAGAGAAACTGTAAGGAGGTGACAGTCAGCGCCTGCACAGGCAATAGCAAAGTCATCAACATAGAGTGATGACCAAATATTTGATGGAAGACTAGAGGCCAAATCATTAATAGCAAGGAGAAAAAGTGTTGTGCTCAGAACACATCCCTGGGGGACACCTTCAGCTTGGACAAAGTCCGGGAGAGCACATTATTAACCCGAACACGGAAATGCCTGTCAGTTAAAAAGTTCTTAAGGAAGGATGGTAGATTGCCTCGAAGGCCTAAGGAGTGGGCTTGGGCTAAAATATTATACCTCCAAGTTGTGTCATATGCCTTCTCAAGGTCAAAAAATATGGCAATAACTGAGTGGTATTCGCAAAGGCATTACGAACATACGTATCCAAGCGCAGTAAGGGGTCTATGGTAGAACGTCCCTTACGAAAGCCATATTGACGAGTGGAGAGACTGTTGTGTGTCTCTAAATACCACACTAAACGTCTATTTACTAGACGTTCCATTACTTGCAAACTGCACTGGTAAGAGCAATGGGACGATAGTGGGAGGTTTCATGTCCCGTAGTGCCTGGTTTGCGGAAAGGGAGAACAATGGCGGGATTTCCACAGCTGTGGAAGAACTCCTTGTGACCAAATAAGATTGTAAAGGTGTAATAGGACTGCAAGGGCTGACTGATGTAAATGTTGTAGCATACGAATATGAATGTCGTCGGCCCAGCTGCCGATGATCGACAAGCTGAGAGTGTTGCCTCCAGTTCTTGAAGTGTAAAAGGCACATTATACTGTTCTTCTCTGAGAGAAGAAAAGTCCAAGGGTGCTAACTCTCTGGCAGACTTTGAGGAAAGAAATGAGGGGCATAGATGGAGTCCCTGAGAAATACGGACCAGATGATTGCCAATTTCATTGGCAACATCTAGTGGGTTTGCTATATCAACACCGCAACCCGCAGAACAGGAGCCGGGTCAGGAGAATATTTACCACTCAGTTTTCGTACTTTTTTCCAGACTGCACTCATAGAGGAAGCAGAGGTGATGGTGGAGACATAATCTCGCCAGCAAGTGCGTTTAGCGTCACGGATGACACGGCGAGCGATCGCACGCTTCTGTTTAAAATCAAGGAGTCGCTCTGTGGTTCTATTGTACCGGTACCTGCCCCATGCAGCGCGTTTCAAACGTACTGCACAGAGCACAAGCAGGAGACCACCAAGGCACACATTTCTGAGAATGCCTGCCCGAAGTTTGGGGTATAGAATGAGAAGCTGCGGTGAAAACGGAGGACGAGAAGAGGTGTAAAAGCTCATCGATGGAGGACGAAGAAGGAACCTCTTTAAAAACAGTCAGGTGTGAGTAAAGGTTCCAATTTGCCCGATTAAATTGCCAGCGTGGGGTGCGAAGAGGTGGCGAATATGAA